TGCCCTCATCCAGTCTATTACTGATGACAGACACTGGTTTAGGACCAGCACAGCCTCTTTGGATTGAGGTGGAAAGGAGTAGTAGAGTTGAGTGTCATCTGCATATTGGTGGCACCACATCCCATGATGCATGCGCACATTAATTGGGGTAATGTTTAATATTCCTTAACCGAATTGCTTGGGACCAGAAGTGTTTTCAATTTTGTTTTTTGTTTTTTGAAATATTTGTATATACATAATGAGATATCTTGGAGATGGGATCCAAGTCTAAAAACAAAATTCATTTATATTTCATATACACCTTAAATACATAGCCTGAAGGTAATTTTACACAATATTTTTAATCATTTTGTGCATGAAACAAAGTTGAAATAAACCTTTCTGCCTTGCAAATGAACAAGCAGGAGTGCCAGAGGCAACCACCCCAAAGTGTCATGTCAGCACTCAAAAATGTTGGATTTTGGATTATTACTGCACAGTAATAACAAAAGCTCCAAAGAGCAGTGGATGTAGTAAAAATTAGGTAAACACTTCATTGGCTTTGATGATAAGAAAGGGTGATAGGATGAAGGAAGGGAGCATGAGAGAGAGCTGTCCAAAAATTGGTAGTTTGTTCTACTGGGGCATGTGTCAATTCTTATGTTTAATTTGACTTTTCACTGATACAGCACTCTTAGCTTGTGTAAATGTAAATAGCATGCACCAGTTATGGATCAACCCTACTATTAACTGCAATAATAATAATCCCTACATTTTGTGTTACTATTCCAGGTTCCATGGTTCCTTTTTCCATGCGGATTTTGCATGCTGAACTTCAACAGTATCTAGGAAATCCTCAGGAGTCACTCGATAGACTGCATAATATGAAAACAATTTGCACAAAGGTAAAAAACTAATCTCTAGTCAGTTCGTTTTTTCAGCATCTGTAGGCTTTGCTGACTGTACACAAATTTCCTAGAATAAGCATAGTCATTATTTAGGCAATCTGCACATACAGATATGATGCAAGAACACTTCCACATAGAGGATACTTCCAAGAGGGCTATTTTTTCCTTGCTGTTGTAGTTAACCCTCTTTCACTGAAAACATGTTAAGGAAACAGACGGGTGGTGGTCTTCTACTGTTTTACCTGAGATCCTAGCTTTAAGAGCATGCTTGAAATGGCAAAAATTGTATTTGTTTTCAGTTAAGCATTCATGGAGTTAGGACAATTACATGAAACTGCATGTGAATCTAGATTTGGAGTATCCATGTGTAATTTCCATCAGATGTGTCTACTGCAGTGATTCTCAAAATGGACTTCCACCCCTAGGGGTAGTGGAAGGATCAAGGGGGGCAGTGAGGTGGAAAGGGGACAGTGGGGGGCAGTGAGGAGAAAAGGGGGCAGCAGGGGGCGGCAGTCAAAGTATTGGTGTGCAGGAAAGACCAGGGAACCAGCAGCATTTTGGACCATGGGGATTAGGATTACATTAAACTTCTTTTCAGGGTTCCCAGAAAACCACCACACAGCCTCGTTGAACATTTTGTCTCCCGCTCTTTCCTTGCCCATGTGAGTTCACTCCCTTTCCAGTGTCTTTTGCTAGTAGCGGCAGTTGGGAAACTCGTCCAAGGATTGGGCATAGGGCATTGCTTTTGTGGCTCAAAGTGGCACCATTTTGGGTCAAATGGTAGCAGAGAGTTTGACCACATGGTGAAGGGGGAGAAGTGGCAGCAAAAAAGGAGTTTTCAAATTTGGGACCCTGCTTAAGCTTTGTGACTGTTGCTGGGACTTGGCTAGCAGATTGGAGTTGCATTGCTGCTCCTGCTTTCTTTCATCAAACAAGCTGAGAGAAGAGATAGCAGAAGAAACAATTTTTTGTGGGAGAGTGGACTCATGAAGCTGTGAGGGGAAGACATGTCTCTGGGGAAGGAGTCCTGTGCTCAATTCTTGGAAAGA